CTGCTGTAGGTGACCCTGCTTCGGCAGGAGGGTTGGACTAGACGACCCACAGAGGTCCCTTCCAACCCCTAACATTCTGTGATTCTGTGAATATCAAATCTAAACCTCCCCTGACGCAACTTGAGGCCATTGCCTCTCGTCCTATTGGTAGTTAGTTGGGAGAAGAGACCAACATCTGCCTCACTACAGCCTCCTTCCAGGTAGTTGTAGACAGAGATAAGGTCTCCCCTCAGCCTTCTCCAGACTAAACAACCCCAGTTCCCCCAGCTGCTCTTCACAGGACTTGTGCCCCAGACCCTTCACGAGCTTCGTTGCTCTTCTTTGGATGCGAAGAAACAGAATTTGAGTCTGTTTCTCCAGGATGAACACATCCAGCCCTTCAGCAGATGCGCTAAAGGGATTGCCTCAGTCACAAGGTATCCGTGACTGAGATATCCGAGTCTGACCTTTCTTTTCATGCTGTAATTACAACTCATACAGAATTCTTAAATCAAAACACTTGTTCTGATCAGCTAACCAAAAAAGCCTCAATAACGGACAGAAAGCACACGCTGTCAAACAACCCCAGCTTGTAAATACTGTGTTTGCTTGGTACCTTCTCCCCTCACATTGATTTCTAAACTTAGAATTAAATAAAGAGATTAAAATCAAAACAAAACAAAAAAACCTCTTTTTTTTCCTTTTCCCTCTTTAACTTTTTGATTTGAGGACTGTTATGAAGGAAAGAAAAACACTTATTTCAACACATATAGTCCTATAAACATCCTGGGAACTCAAACAGAACCACAGCCTCAATGCTATATTTTTATATTTTACAATGCCCACATAGTACAGATCTGCAAAACATTTCAGCGCACTCAGCTGAAATTCCTAGGAGTTAATATTTTTTATTGTGATTGAAAAAATTTCAGCATACTACCTGAGGCTGGTGGTGGGTTTCGGCATTGCACCCTGTGCTTCTGATGCTGTGTTACAGTGGGACTGGCTTCCAGACAGACTGCCTTGACTCGCAAGGAACTATTCTTAACTCTACAATCAAGGTTATTATAAACTTCATTCCAAGAGTTCAAAAAGATGTTAAAAGAAATAATACTGACACAGAAATACAAATAGGACACCTGGTGGAATAAAATTTTTGGGTTTGGTTTGTTTTGGGATTTTTTTTTTTTCTGGGGGGGGGAGAAATATCTAAGTAAAGTCAAAGAAAATGAGAATAAACTCTGGGACAGTATTTCCTTTCCTGCCTTGCCTGCCCAAGTTGGACTGATGTTGCAGAAGTAGTCACCTCAAGACTTTTCCCAATACTATTTAATCACAACAGATGCAGCAGGGTCTTTTGCTTCACACCATAATCTACCGTCTCTATATGGTACGCTTAGATTCAAAACCCAATGTCTAAGCTTTGCAATCCTGTTTCCACAAGTGATTAGCACCTGCAATCCCAGGGAATTTAATCAGAAGAGATCAGTATCTTTCAACCTCAGGTTAGTTTTCATGAATTTTACTTAAAGCGTGCACATTTTAAAACTCAGGACAGTAGACTTGTTTGTTGCATCTGAATTCCAGTACTCATAACTCTATATAAGCATATCAAATAGTTCTGCTTGACATGATCTATGCACCATCTTTAATTGCCTTACAGCAGAAGCATCAATTACAATAGCAATGCCATCAACCTCTGAAGAATACTTGATTAAATAGTGCAAATGAAGCATGCTGGCAATTCTGATTAATGCATTTACAGCATTTTTCTATGGTTTTATAAATTAAATCTGTAATGAAGACAAGCAGTTGTATTATTTCAAGTGAAGGTGAGGATAACTTGTCTTTTCCCCAGAAGACATGAAGATTTTTAACAGTTAAAGCAAGATAGGAAACTTCAAACCACTTAAAATAAGAGTTTCAGTGAAACCAGGAATTGAAATGTCATATATTTTCTCTAAAACTTGGGACTGGATTTTCAATTTTCCCACAGCTTATTACAGGCATATGAGTGATCACAAAGTGCATGAAAATAGTTATTCAGTAACATTTCACATCTGCTTTCCACTCACGTAAAAGATTTCTTACAAAGAATACAGAACAAGATAATACGCGCTTGGAAAACAGGGCCAGAAAATCATTCATTCAGAGTAAAGTAAATTATTTACATTTATTATTTCAATTCTCTAGTCTTATAATTACAATTTTATTACATTTCAAAAAGTGAATGATACAGCTGTCAGGACCTTTTTTTTTTTTTTTTCCCAACAAGTTCCTTGACTGATCAGTAACTCAGCAGACTGTGTGAAGGAAGCTAGACCTTGAGAAATAGAACATAAAATAATATCTGGCTCTTGAGGAAACTTTTAAAGACATTTCTAGGTTTCCTGGTTTCTTACTTCTGCAAAATATTTAAATGTTACTCTTAGAGTTTGATTAATCTTCTTATTCCCTTAATTTTCTGAGATTACAGGCAATGAAACAAAAAGAAGCATATTACTTACATCATTCTGATCATCTTTTGCATTATAATAGATTATATCATTATTCTGTAAGAGAAAGAAAGGAAAAGTTATTGTTAGTTTTAAAGTAGTGAATAAAGTTCACTAGCAATAATTTGTACTGAAATACATTTTAATGTAAACCTGCCTTTCTTTATGTATTCTTTGAGAAATGTGACAGAATCAGCATTTGGTTTGCTCTCTGTTGCATGTAAGATTCCTGTAAAGCTCATGTGTAACTTCACTCATTTAACACTTCTTCCCTGGTAAGCTACCTAAAAGTCACTCAAAAAGCCAGCTAGATAAGTAGAGACCACGTTGGACAAAATGCAGAGCTCTCAAAGACTTCCGCACGCTGTTTCTCCCACAGACGTCCAACGACGTCACTGCGCAGTTAGGTGATTTCTGCACCGTGCCATCAGCAGGCAACAGATACAGCGACGCACGGGCATTGCTAAGTGGGTGAAGCATTTATCACACACACGTTTATTGTTTTATTCACCTCCCACGGTGAAAATAAAACCTGGGAAAGTACACCACAGGAGAGCCTGGCTTTTGAAGCAGAGGGTGGATCCCGGCAGCTCTGCGGAGGGGCTGCACCGCATAATCCAAGCCGGGCAATAAAGGAGAGGATTGCTACTTTCCGTTACAAAAGCAGTCAGCAGCTTCATTCAGTGTAATGTCAACAGCAGTCTGAAAATTGGGGGTTTTCCAATGGAATGCGGTTTTCTCAAAATATCTCTGAAGCATCTAAAAGCCGTAAAGGTTTAGGCTCACTCTAGTAGCTTTCCACTAAATGGAATTGCTGTAATGTGCCCTATGCTTTTTTGAATGAAAGTAAGCAATTGTTACACGCATTTCTGTATGAAAGAGACACGTATATGTACATAGCATTTTTTTAAGTCCTATTACAGATTTTGAATAAATAAAGGAGAAGTAATTACATTTCTTCACATCCAGCAGCTTGTTTAAAACATGTGATTGCTGCTAACCTCGAAAACCAGCCTTAATTCATATTTTCAGTTCTGTTTGTGGTAATACCTTTGGATTTATGTGTCTAAATAAAAAGTTGACCACAGAAATGTTTTTTTTCCTTTATAAATACCAACAGGAAAGAATTATTTCAGTAATCAATTTTCAAGTGGGTGGTGAAGCCAGCGACAATTATTACTTGCATTAAAAAAGTACCACGATATGTGCTACAAGGTAATGCAGTTCATCTTTATTCGCCATCGTTTTCCTCACCTCATATATAATGACAGTGTTCATTCTCCTTTGTGACCTTTCTGAGATCCAAACAAGAAATATGTTACAGATGAGCTAAGTGTCATTTTGCAGTAAATGCTATTAACATGAACTCATCCTCTTTCCTTTTCCTGCAGAATACATTTTTCCATCCAGACACTGTTCCACCCGCAGGTCCGCAGGGCTTGTGTCAGTGTCTGGGTAACTCAGCCAGACCTCAGGGTGCTACAGCCACAGGAGGACATCCCTTTCATCGTTAAAGACCAAAGCTAGCTGTTCATTCACTTGTTACTTGATTGTTGTAAACAGCAGAGCATGTGAAGTGTGTGGAAGCCTTCAAGTTAGAAGAAGCAAAAGATTTTATTTTCTTCTGATCCCCTTTACTTTATACATGGCTGTGTGCACAATAACTGTTCTGTAAGCAAATTGACCTGCTCAAAAAGCCATCTGACTCTTTATCAGGCAACATGTGAAAATGCAAAGGATCCAACCCTGACTGGTACTAGCTGGAAATGTTAGCACGAGTGTTTTCTTCACAAAGTGATCTGCTTAATTTAAAAAAAAAAAAAAAATGTTGTTTCACTTCAGAAGACAGTGGAAAAAGAACTCTCCTCTCACCACACCTCCTTACGTTAACGTCACGTCACATTACATTACATTACGTTACGTTCTGTTGTGTTGTGTTAGAGCAGTTCCCCTGCAATTTCTTCCCTGGAAGATCTATTCTGGAAAAATGAGACAAGGAAAAGCAACAGAGGGATACCTATCTGGATATTATGTATATATTTTTTTCATTTAGTGGTTTCATTTTGAAAAGGAACATTTGCATAAAACACAATTCTATCAGGCCTTCTCTTGTATTGACTCTCATCAAGATATCAGTTTATTTCCCTACCCCCTTCCCACTGCTCAAGTTTACCCTAACAGTATACCTTGTCATACAATCATTTAATGCATAGGAGGTTTAACCCTGTCCTCTACGCACACATTCTGTTTATCTGCTTAAACAAAATGATTCTTTATTGCCACAATTGCATTTTCCTGTTTTATCTTTTTACATATTTGTTTAAAATGATCGAAGCTGGCATAGCATTGCTATCTACTTCTACTGGACTAAAGAGCATTTTTTAAATCACCTATTAAAGAATTCTGTTTCAGAAACACGATACATTTAGAACTTAATTAAAGTAACCCCCACCACCACCCCAAATTAATTAGATACTTTCTTAGGCTATTCATATCTTGCAGTTCATTACCCTGCCTGGAGATATTACCTATATAATGCATAAACTAACACTGATATTGGTCATATCTCACCACTCTTACTATAGAAGATATGAGATACAGTGCTACAACACATTGAATGCTGTACAGTTCACAAATTAGATTCACGGATAAGTTATATCTTTAGAGGACAATTTTTCGTAATTTAACCACTTCTAGCTGACAAGAACAAATTGCTTTGTTGCTGGTTCTCAAGCGAGTAGTTTAGTGATTTATTAACTTCTTGACACAAAGAATTTGAATATTCCCACTGTTACACATTTCTGCCACCAGTTAATACTGCACAATTGTTTAGTAAGCCCAAGATACAATGTAAGTACCCCAAATATTTATTTCTGTTTGTTATTCAGTAATACTATGAGAGAGAGGGGTAAATACCCAGTTGCCTCTGTTCGTGAATGAAGGGACTTAGTAAGACAAACCTGAAGCTGAATTTATGGAAAAATTACTTTAGAAGACCACACACATAAATTCGAAACGTTAGCATAGTATCAGTATACAAGTTCACAAAACTTATACTCTTGGAAAAGCAGAGGGTAGTTTTCCCCATTATTAATTCCACTTTCAAAGCAAACAGTTTCATTATCTGACAAGGACATGCAAGGCATATAAAAATTAGATTAAGGACCAAGACATAAATGTTTTATTTGTGACTCTCAGTATTTTCTTCTATTTTATTCTAACAATCTTTTTTCTTCCACACCTTCATTGATATCACTACTACCTGCCAAAGTTAGATTGTTCCACTGTCTTTATATTGCTTTTCATTTCAGCAGTACTTTGTTTCTCAGCTTTGGGTATAAAATAATTCCAATGGGAAACACTACATTTTGGGTAGTATTAATGAATTCCTAAATTTCACCACACAGGAGCCAAAGTTGCAGATGACTATGATCTCTATGTCTAGAAATTTGCAGAAACACACAGATTCATCGAATAGAAGAGAAGCATGGGCAAAGATAATCTTTCAGAATATCTGTGCAGGAAATTTGGATTCAGACCAACACTAGCTTACACCCCCATTTTGATTCTCTGTGGAGCATGTTTACAGACACAGTCTATTGATTCGACTAGTTAAATGCCTAATCTCAGCTCAGGCTTACGTGAACAGAGCTGAAGTTGGCTTGTCTTTGTTGAAAAGACAACAAAGAAAGTTGTCTTTTCTTTCATGACAGTAAAGAATACTTTCTTCAATCAAATTCTTTCAAGGACAACACAAAGGGATTATATTGCAACGCGACACAGCTGACTCTACAGATAATTAAGTGTAGTAAATCCTGATAATATATCCAAGTCATTTGGTTGATAAAAGCTATACATCCTCCTTTACTATACCAAGGGCCAAAGATGAAAGCTCCTTCCCGTCACTGCCACTTAATGACTTCTGTAGGAAAACCTGCTCTGTAAATCCTACGCTAGAATACCAAGGATTGTCCATGAAATATGGACCCCATCAACTGGTCAATCTTCCTTTTCAGTGGAAGCATAGTGTGTGTGATTTTTGAAGTATCTGATTTTCTACAAGAGATGTTTGCATTTCTATCATGGAAAAAAAAAGTCCAGAAATTTTAAGATTATCAACAAACATCTAACACTAGCTATTCAGAAGCGATGCTTTCACAGAAGCTGTGATTAAGATTCTTTATGCCCTCAGGTCTGTAGGAGAGGCTTACTAGAGAATCTGCCTAACTTTGACCCTGTGATGTAGCCCAAAATGGGGTCAGGCATGCAGGGGAGACTGCAGGCCTAAAATCAATTCTAGAACTTTGTGAGACTGGGGGGAGAAATCAATTTTCTACAGCTTTTCATATAGTAGAGAAATTTATGCAATGTGTTAATTTAGACAGACATCATTATCACCCTTTTTTCCTAAAAGTAGCAGTTGTGAAACAATTGTAGATAAAAAGTGAAAGCAAAAAAAACAATACGGTGTTCCATGACTTTATTTGCTACAGAGATGTTGGAAGATAATGAACTCTCTCAGAAAAGAAAATGGAAGAGTTTTTGTTAAAGGTCTCCATATTTCAAACATTTTCTTCAGGGAACCACTGGAGGCCAGCCTAAAATCAGTGTAGTAGATTATACTGCAAATATATATTACTGCATAATAATTAGTGCATGTTTTAAAATCTGAAATTAAGGCCATATATGATTATTTGAATTTTGTTTTAAAACGGCACACTTCCCATAACTTCTAAGTATTTTATACAAAATTTGCTGAAGCAACCAAAAAGGGGCAATGTACAAAAGCTCCTTTATATTACAGTTGACCTGCTAGTAGTGATACCTACAAGGATTCTTTTGTTCTGCAGGTAATGTGGTAGACTAAGAAATCAGAAAACAAGGAAAAGCAAGTCATATTATAAATATATGTCTGTTTTGACTGTTCAGCTCAAAAATACATTCTTTAAAATGCAGATAGAAAATTAGAGAACATTTTAAAATCATACTAGTCCCCCACACTTTGAAAAGACACAGAACGCTGGTGACATAACTGTGAGTTCTGTTGCTCAGCATGC